CGGGCTCCTGAGGGGCAGGCTTGCTCCCCTTCCACCTTCTGCTCTCAGAGATGCCAGTGTGGGGCTCGGGCGCTCTGCCAGGCACAGGAGGCAGCTTTCAGACGCTCCGGGTGTTAAAAATGCACATCAAGTGGCGGCGAGAGGGGGCCGAGGTGCTGAAAAGTTCAGCTGAAACGGCGACCTGGGAGCAGGAGGTGCTGAGCCTTCGAGAGAACTCGCACTTCCCAGGATCGTCCCAAAATAGCGCAGCCGCCGCCCCACCCACCGTGCCCTCCCTGCGGGTGCCTGGCCCTGACCGGCTCTGGTCAGAGGGTGCCCCTGGGCACAGTGCCCCCGGGCGAGACGGACACCCTGGCCTGGCTCTGGTAACGGGAGCCTAGGAGGTGGCGTGTGGGAGGGAGGGAGGGAGGCAGGGGGTGGGGTGCAGGCCACAGTCAGGCACTCGGTGACCTCGAAGCAGCCATCTTGCGGCCGACAGGTCACAGGTCAGGGCGAGAGGCATGCAGACAGACCTGCCCAGGAGGAGCCGCCCACGGCGGCCGTGCTCTGGGGCTGGGGCCAGCCTGCAGCCCCAGCCGAGACAGTGGCCCTGGAAGGGACGAGGCTTCTGCCCCACCGCAGGGACCCAGCTCTGGGGCCGGGACTGCACAGGCCCACGAACTGCCCATCAGGGCCACACCCGGTGCACCAGGTCTCAGCAGGGCATGTGGGAGGGGTCCTGGGGCTGGGCCTGTGGAGGGCAGGCCTTGGACCCAGGAAGGAAGTGCCTGGCCCCAGGGTTGGGGGCGGGTCTGCCCCAGGAAGACAGGCTCTGAGCTCTGCACCCCCCAGAAAGCAACGCCCCCCAGAAAGCCACGGAGGCAGGAGAGGCCGAGGGAGGGCCAGGAGGCTGCTCCTTCCTGCTGAGGCCACAGCTCCTCTCACATGAGGAGAAGCTATTCGGCCAAGTGGGCGCGGGTCAGGGCACAGTGCCAGCTGGAGCCATCGGCCCCTCCCAGTGAGGAGCCAGGCAGGTGCGCAGTGAGGAGCCCCGAGGGCTCGCTCCCCTCTGTCCCGTCCTGTCCCCGCCCACCCCGCCCTGAGCTGGGAGGGCTGAACCCCAGGCCTGCCCCTCAGAGGCCATCGAGGCTGGTCAGCAGGTGGCAGCGAGGCCTGCAGGGCAGGTCTTTGGGGAGGGGCCTCCTGGATCGGTGGCCCCAGGCCCCTGAGGCTGGGGGTGGGGAGAAGGGTGGGGGCCGATTCTGGGGAGCAAGTGCAATGAGGCCGCCACCCTGTGCGGAGAGACAGCTCTACCCCCAGCAGGTGGGCAGGTGGGGCCTGACTGGGGGGAAGGGTGCACCCCCACAGTGCCCCCGGCGCCGGCCCCTCCCACGGGCTCTGCCTGCCTCCCCAGGTGGCACCTGGGTCTCTCCCTAGGGCTGGACACAGGGCCCAGCGGCAGCTCTGTGAGGAGGCGCAGACCGCCTCTTCCTCTCCTGCCACGGAGACCAGGGGGTACGGAAGGGGAGGCGGGGCCTGCCGGCGTGGCTCCCTGTTAGAGTGTCGGCCCACGCACCCAAGGGTCTCCAGTCTGATTCCCGGACAAGGATGTGAACCTCTGGCCAGGGAGGAGTCCCTGAGGCCTGGTTTCAGTAAGTGGCACCAGACCCCCGGGGCTGACGGGGTGGGCATGTGGCCCCGTGAGATGCCCACTGACGGGCATCCTGTCTGCGGGCCAGTACGCTCGTCCAGCCCGTGAGGTGAGAACGCGAGAGCAGAGCCAGGTCCTGCCAGCCAGGCCAGCGTGGGGGTCGGGGGACAAGAGCCAGTGCCAAGGAGGCCCCAGGGGAGATGGGCCAGCGGGTTCAACCACAGGGGCCAACCAGACATCCCTCTGCAGCGCGGCCCTGGGCCCACCCTCTGTGGCTCCATCACCCGGAGGAGCCCGCCCTCTGTGGCTCCGTCACCCGGAGGAGCCCGCCCTCTGTGGCTCCGTCACCCGGAGGAGCCCGCCCTCTGTGGCTCCCTTACCCGGAGGAGCCCGCCTCAGGGGAGCGGCAGGTGGGGAGGGCTCTGCTTCTGGGGAAGGCAGTGGAGGAGACCCTGCCCTCCACCATGCCACTGCTGTGTGTGGAGCCCGTGGGCCATGACTACAGATGCCACCGGCCTTTCAGCTCTGACATTAGAGGCAACCGACCTGCTGGTGGGAGGGGCTGAGCCTCAGGAGGCCCCGCCAGCGCCCTGCACCTGCTTTTCCCCAGCAAAGGGATGGTGACGCTGAGGCCCACGGGCAGAATGGAGCCAGGCCTCCCAGGCCCTGAGTGTCTCCCTGGGTAGCCCAGCGAACCTGCCTGGAAGAGGGCTGTGGGCGCCCGGAGCCCCACAGACAGAGGCCCTGGGAGCCTGGCCGGCAGGGGCGGGGCCCGGGCCCTGGTGCTGCAACCC